TATCGGGTTGAGGTCAGGACTCTGTGCAGGCAGGTCAAGTTCTTCCACACCAAACTCTCTCATCCATGTCTTTATGGACCTTGCTTTGTGCACTGGTGCACCTTCATGCTGGAAGAGGAAGGGGCCATCTCCAAACTGTTCCCACAAAGTTGGGAGCAGGAATTGTCCAAAAATCTCTTGGCATGCTGAAGCATTCAGAGATCCTTTCACTGGACCTAAGGGGCCAAGCCCAGCTCCTGAAAAACAACCCCACACCATAATCCCCTTTCCACCAAACTTTACACTTGGCACAATGCAGTCAGACAACTAGCGTTCTCCTGGCAACCACCAAACCCAGACTCGTCCATTGGATTGCCAGATGGAGAAGCTTGATTCATCACTCCAGAGAACATGCCTCTACCGCTAAGAGTCCAGTGGCGGCGTGCTTTCCAACACTGCATCCGACACTTTGCATTGCACTTGGTGATTAATGGCTTAATAATTGTAACCCATTCTTAAAACCCATTCCATGAAGCTCTCTTTTCACTGTTCTTGAGCTAATCTGAAGGCCACATGAAGTTTGGAGGTCTGCAGCGATTGACTCTGCAGAAAGTTGGCGACCTCTGCTCCCTATGTGCTTCAGCATCCGCCCACCTCGCTCTGTCAGTGGCCTACCACTTCATGGCTGAGTTGCTGTGGCTCCCAATCGCTTCCACTTTGTTATAATACCACTGACAGTTGACTGTGGAATATTTAGGACCGAGGAAATTTCATGACTGTTGCACAGGTGGCATCCTGTCACAGTACCACGCTGGAGTTCACTGAGCTCCTGAGACCGACCCATTCTTTCACAAATGTGTGTAGAAACAGTCTGCATGCCTTGGTGCTTGATTCTTTACACCTGTGGCCATGGAAGTGAATGGAACACATGATTTCGATTATTTGGATGGGTGAGTGAATACTTTTGGCAATATCGTGCATGTATAACAGAAAAAAACCACTTTACCTACAACTCATTGACACGTATCTACATTTGGAGGTCGGGAGACGACTAAAACATTATTTTTAACTAATTTTTTAAAAGCAAATGCCACCTTTTTAATAAAGAACCCTGTGATAATTCAGATCAGGACCACCTGAGCAGAAGTCTAATCTGCTAAATGAAGTATTTGCCTNAGAAAATAACCTTTTCCCAATATTCTGTTTATTAGAATGCACCTGAATAGTCGGCTGCAAAATAAAATATGTGAGAAAGTAAACAGTAAACCAACATTCACAGAGCAAATAAATGAGACAGTTTTAGTTTTAAAAGTATATAATATAATCTAAGTTCAATTTAAAAATACACTAAATAAAGGATGTGTATTCAGGAATTAACATTTCTGAATGTAATATTTGGGAAGAATATTTTTAAAAAGTTGCAACGTTGAACGGTTGCGATCGCTGTAAAACCCAAACAGAAAACCATCGCCGAGTGTTCACAACAAGTTAGTAAATGATTTATGTGTTTATGAGTGATTACAGTTTTTTTATTGTTTGGATGATGCAGAAACACTGTGGAATAACTTGTCACACCTTGAGCTAAAGTCCACAGTTTACTCCTACACTAATACGTTGAACTGGGACATTAAGCAGAATACAGTCATAGTCACCTGTCTGCAGAAAAACTGTGGAAAAACTTGAGCTAAAGTCCACAGTTTACTCCCACACTAATACATTCCACGTGGACATAAAGCACAACACAGTCACAGTAACCTTTATTACTAAGCCCTGTTAGTTGTATCTACATATACACTATATTTCCATAAGTATTCGCTCATCTGACTTGACTCGCACATGAACTTAAGTGACATCCCATTCCTAATCCATGGGGTTCAATATGACGTTGGTCCACCCTTTGCCGCTAGAACAGCTTCAACTCTTCTGGGAAGGCTGTCCATCGGTTTAGGAGTGTGTTTATGGGGATTTCTGACCATTCTTCCAGAAGCACATTTGTGAGGTCACACACTGATGTTAGACGAGAAGTCCTGGCTCTCAGTCTCCGCTCTAATTCATCCCAAACGTGTTCTATCGGGTTGAGGTCAGGACTCTGTGCAGCCAGGTCAAGTTCTTCCACACCAAACTCTCTCATCCATGTCTTTATGGACCTTTGCTTTGTGCACTGGTGCACCTTCATGCTGGAAGAGGAAGGGACCATCTCCAAACTGTTCCCATGAAGTTGGGAGCATGGAATTGTCCAAAATCTCTTGGTATGCTGAAGCATTCAGAGTTCCTTTCACTGGACCTAAGGGGCCAAGCTCAGCTCCTGAAAAACAACCCCACACCATAATCCCACCTCCGCCAAACTTTACACTTGGCACAATGCAGTCAGACAAGTACCGTTCTCCTGGCAACCGCCAAACCCAGACTCGTCCATTGGATTGCCAGATGGAGAAGCTTGATTCATCACTCCAGAGAACGTGCCTCTACCGCTCTAGAGTCCAGTGGCGGCGTGCTTTCCACCACTGCATTAATGGCTTAATAATTGTAACCCATTCTTAAAACCCATTCCATGAAGCTCTCTACACACTGTTCTAGTGCTAATCTGAAGGCCACATGAAGTTTGGAGGTCTGCAGCGATTGACTCTGCAGAAAGTTGGTGACC